CTTGCTCAACTGAGGCAATAGTGGGTGGTATTTAGTTAGGGATGCCCAGTAGGCACATTGAGGTAGGATCTGAAATTCCAGTTGAGAACTTCTGAATGGGAAGAGATATTTAGTGGGTCAATGATATATTCAGGTTTCAGTGATAATAGCTGAAACCTGGCTGAGGATGACATTTCTAGAGAAAGGAGAGAGGGTTTAAGAATGAAGCCATGGGGATTATGTACAGAAGGAGAGCTGTCAAGAGAAAAGAGTTACAGAAAAGGAGACTGTGAAGGAGTGCCCACAACTCAAGATACACAAATTTGTTATTTTTCTCTACAAACATGATCCAACTCCTATATTTAACATTCAGGACAGAGTGATGTCATTGAAAGCACATCTGTACAATTGCCAAATAGAGTAAATTCTAGTTAGTAAATTAGTGTATATTTTTTTCTTCTCTAACCTTTATTCTTTTTCAGTCTTTTGATTCTGAATTCATATGCTATGTCTTATCTGGAGTAAATAATTTTCCTAATAGTAAGAGGTGCCTTAATATCTTCAGATGGTAGGTTGTGATTTTTTTGCTTTTTCCCTACCAGAATAATTACCATTAGGAAGGGACCTCATGAGAAAAATGAAGCACTTTATTTATGATTCCTGTTTAATAATAGCCTTGCCTAGACTATTTGAAGATGACCCATTTTTTTTCATTGGTGTGCCTGTCCAGAAGTCTGCATGGGAAAACTATCTCTAATATAAAAGTAAATTCCTTTGTTTAATTTCTCTTTGTTTCAAAAAAGCTATTTTAGCAGTTTATCAGTAGCATTTATTTGGTATTATACTTTGTTTTCCTTGATACTCTGGGGGAAATAAAGAAATAGAAGATGGGAATTAGTCGATCTGAGTTTACATTCTGAGAGGACAAATACACTCTTATGTATGTGTGGGCATTTGCAAATGCTGTATTTATCTTATATTGTTGAAGAATAAACTCTTTTCTTAGACATATCTTATTAGGTAACCAAACCTACTCCTTTAAATGTTAGCAGGAAGAAAGGAACTATTTTATTTTACAGGGAATTGTTTTCTGTCTTTTAAAATAGTGAATATAATTTGAAGTTTTTTTTAAGACTCAGGACTATCATTTTATTTCTGTATTTTCGGGTTCCTGGACTGTGTAGATTTGCTGTTATGCTTTTGGCTTCTTATCAGCTTTTTTGCTTTTTCTTTTTCCTTGTTGTTAATGGATGGGAAAATAGAAAAGTCGATGTTTTAAAATAATAGGGGAAGAGGCAGCCATCGGAGGAGGCGCTGGCCCGCTGTTCTCCGCTGTCCCACAGGAAGGTGCTGGTAGCCTTCCAGGCCAGGAGCACCATGGGGGTGTGATTGGGATGGAGGGGAGAGGCGGGGGGTGGGGCGGGTGCGTGGAGCCTATGCCTTTCCGGTAGGAGAGTCTTCACTGGCCTTTTTCCTGGGTATCGGTTTAGATGTGAACCCCAGTGGAGCAGCTTGAAAAAGGCAAGCAGGTACCACAGCAGCAGCCCTGGGCCCCAAGGATAGCCAGCCACTCGTCCTCTTGTGGAAACAGGAGCGGACTACTGGGTGGAGAGGTTGTGCCCTTTCATTCCCTGGCAATAAACTGGTCTCTGGAGAACACTGTAAAATTATAGTGGATAAAAAATCTGGGCGGGTGTCACTTGAAGATACCAGTACCAGTGGAACAGTAATTAACAAGCTGAAGGTTGTTAGGAAGCAGACTTGCCTTTTACAAAATGGGGATATCATCTATTTGGTATGTAGGAAGAATGACTTGGAACACATGTTATACCTCTATGAATCTTTACATGAAAAGCAAGGCATAACACAAGAATCCTTTTGAAGTTGATAAAGAAAATGTATTCCACATGACCAAAGATACCACAGGGCAGGGTGAAGTCACCCCCGGATCCTGCCATGTTGCTTGCCACTTAGGTGGGCTTTGAGGAACCGCAGCCATTGACAGACCTCTGCAACATAGCCTCCACCTTTTTCATAGTGTCTTCCTCAGGGTTGAGAGCATTTCGCCAATTCCAGATCTGGGGGTTCAGGCATTTCCCCTGAAAGGATGTGGTCCAGTTGTGGCAAATGATGAGATCTTTAGCTTTGTTTCACTTCTCCCAGCTAGAGAAGGAACATCATTTCTTTGTTAGAATCCCTTTGTTAGGATCAGGGGCCGACCCCATGGCTTAGCGGTTAAGTGCGCATGCCCCGCTGCTGGTGGCCCGGGTTCGGATCTGGGCGCGCACCGACGCACCACTTGTCTGGCTGTGCCGAGGCGGTGTCCCACGTACAGCAACTAGAAGGATGTGCAACTATGACATACAACTATCTACTGGGGCTTTGGGGAGAAAAAGGAAAAAAAAAATGGAGGAGGATTGGTAATAGATGTTAGCTCAGGGCCGGTCTTCCTCAGCAAAAAAAAAAAGAGGAGGATTGGCATGGATGTTAGCTCAGGGCTGATCTTCCTCACACACAAAAAAAAGAATCCCAGGATCAAGAGGATTTGGGGCCAATTAAAAATAAAATGAAAGGAGATGGGGAGCCTAATCTGAACCTGCAGTTGTTGGTTGCATACAAGTGTAGAAACACCCACACTTTACTTGAGAATATCAGAGATGCTGCCGTGAAGCCAGACAAGATGGAGATGCTCATGTGCATCATCTGTCAGGAGTTGCTGCACAACTGTGAGATTGCAGCCCTGAAGTGTTTTTATTGTCTGGTTATAGAATCACTGAAAACACCATGTTCTGTTAATTGGATGGCCTGGGCATTTTCTGAGAGCTGACATATCAGTATCGGCAGAACATTCTTGCTTCCCATTTGCCAGTAGCTGTAACGTCCTATCCTGATTTCTGTTGGGTCCACACTGCTGTACTCATGCAATGCAATTTCATGCAATAAAATTCAATAATATTCGTGAACAGATGATGTTCAAGAACTAAGTGTCAGGGGAAGCACCGAGACGGCTTTGGAGTGTTGGAGGTCAATGACAGAGTTTAAAAAACTACCCAACACAAACATTTTAAGGGCATTTTTATAGTTCTCTTCTCAGGGGAAACAGGATCTCTACATTATTTAGTCTGGCGTCACTTTTCTTTTGTGGAGCTTTTCCTTCTGAGTGAGATCCTTCCCAGTGTCCTAGAAGGCCCTGTAAGGCCACATCCCATCTTCCTAGTGTGTAAGTTGTTATTACCATATCTAGCCTAGGGCTTGAGTGAGTGTGTTCTTGACTACTGCTGTGGAACAAGGGCACAGGGGGCCAGGAGGCTCTGGGCATCATCCCCTTTGCTGGGTGCTTGGGTCTCAGCCTGATGCATTACCACAGCTGAGATTTCCTCCCTCCTTTGCTTTTCCACAGCTACAAGCCCCTCTTGTGATTATCTCCCACGTTATTTTATTCCTTCTCTGCTTTCCAGTGACTGATGCATTTGAGGCTGTGGGTTGTGGGGCAGGCAGGTGAGTGTGACAGGCACAGCAGGCTAAGGTTCAGGTCTGTGAGTGTGTATGTATGTATGCGTGTATGTGTGTGGTGGTGCCCCTGTCCCACAGTGTTCTGGTCTTGCTGTGTACTCTGTGGAGTAGGCCCTCTGGCTAAGATCCTGGAGAGCGCATGAAGGGTGCGCGAGGGACCAGTTCCAGCTGTGTGATGCTGGAAGCCATCCATCTGTATGGCCGTTGCTTCCTCTAGTCCTTGCCCTTGTCCTTTCCTTCTGTGTTAGATTTGCCATGTCATCTGCAGTAATACTAGAAATTTTATTTTTGTAAAGAAAAAAGTTTTGTTTATCTTTTGTTGAAATTGCCTGTTACATTTGTTAGTAAAACTTGTAACTTCTTGCTTCTTAGGAAAACGATTTTCAGCTATTGTCTTATTTGTAATACAGACTCTTGAGAAACAGTGCTCTATTTGTGAAGGAAAGTCCTTTTTTGCATTCTAGTAAACAAGCTGTGTTTGTTTAAAAAAATTCTATTTAAAGAAAGAACAAAAACACTGAGTAAGAGCATGCTGTCCTCTGAAATAAACAGATTTTAGTGAATGGACTTCAGCATTTATTTTGGTTATTTAAAGTTTTTTCCCACATTCTCAAATTATTTATTTTGATTAAAGTTGCTTTGTAAATGGCTTCAGTGTTCATGCTCATCTAGTAGTATAGGTGCTACTGTCTCATTTTTTTACATACTTATAAATATGTTTATAATATACCTACATATAGCAAAACAAGGGAAGAAAATTGAATAAAAAACTAGTTACAGGGGCCGGCCCAGTGTAGTGGTTAAGTTCGCCTGCTCCGCTTCAGCGGCCTGGGGTTCAAAGGTTCGGATCCCAGGCGCGGACCTACGCACCGCTCATTAAGCCATGGTGTGGCAGGCATCTGACATATAAAATAGAGGAAGGTGGGCACAGATTTTAGCTCAGGGCCAATCTTCCTCAGCAAAAAGAGGAGGATTGGCCGTGGTTGTTAGCTCAGGGCTAATGTGGCTCACAAAAAAAAAAAAAAAAACACAAACTAGCTACAGATACATGAATATGCATAATTGGAGTTTGTAGTGATGGGAGAGATGGGGTTATATTATTGATGGTTGCAGTCTCGTTTATTTCATGTCAAGAAGGGAGTTGCATTTTGAGGGAGGGATAAATCAGTCAAAAGGAGATGATCAGGTTAAAGTATCTTCCTAGACAATATATAGTATAGTGAATGGCTTTGGAACTTTCTGCTGAGTGACCTGCTGTAATTATAAAATTGCAGTGCTAGCTTCCCCAGCAGAAAACGGACAAATCTTATTTCAGGGGAGGTTTTCAGTTTCCGTATTTCTCATGGTATTAAAATTTTTAATTTGAATGAAAAGGAAAAAGTCATATTACTCTATGTTTTTTCCTGTTTCTATAGTTAGTATATAATCATAGCATTTATTTATGTGAAAGTCAGAAATTAAGTAGATTTGTTGATTTACCTTGTATGTATATATTTTTTTCCATCTAGAAAGAGTTTACATTCAGGAGGAAATAATCCAGGAAAAGGAAGAACAAGCAGATCAAGATGTGTAGCTCTGTGGCTGCCAAGTTGTGGTTTTTGACAGATCGTCGAATCAGGGAAGACTATCCCCAAAAAGAAATCTTACGAGCATTAAAGGCCAAATGTTGTGAGGAGGAACTGGATTTTAGGGCTGTGGTTATGGATGAGGTGGTGCTGACAATCGAACAAGGAAACCTGGGTAAGTCTGTACTAAGTAATTTTTGAATTTTTACTTAGAATTTGGTGAATCTGCATATTTTAGGAATAATTAGGACAAAAGAATCATTAATAATCTTATCATTACTAAGTATCATCTAATCTTAAAATCTAGTATATTTTAGGGAAGAAATGGGAACACCTATTTATTAAACCCCTTATTGTATTATTTAGGAAATAGTTGGAGGGAAATTAAAGATAACCTGCTAGTTTTCTTCCATTATTACTATCTTCTGGTTTTAAAATACCTTGTTTATAAGGTGTTTGTAAGGAAGTCTCTACCCCATGGGGGTCCTTTTAGTTAATTAATCAAAATCTGTGTGTGATTCTTACTTTCTTTTTTGTTTATAAAATACTTTATATGTATGGTATAAAATACTTATATAGTTTTTTTGTGGATAAAAGTATCCTAATGATTTGACTCAAGTGATTATTTCTAATATTTCATATTTGTTTTAGTATTACAAGATATCTTGGAAATGATATAGAAATTCTTTAGGGCTGACTTTCAGGAATCTTTATGTGTTTGCTTTGGAAAGTTATGACTTGTTACAGCTAAATTGGTCATTTCTCTTAGGGAGCATTATATGGTGGCATATAAGTGGCATTTGTGATTAACTTTCAGAAAACACTTCATAGTTTAGTGATAGTATTGGATAAGGTTATAAGACAAACATTTAAATACATTCTTGATTACTTACTGTCTTTGTGACTGGAATCATAATGAAACCATGTTTTAATTTCCTCATCAATAAAATGGAGAGAGATGGTTATTGTGAGAATTAATAATATGCAAAGTTGGACCAGCCCTGTGGTCTAGTGGTTAAGTTTGGCGCGCTCCACTTCAGCAACCCAGGTTCGGTTCCCGGGCGTGGACCTACACTACTCATTGACAGCCGTGCTGTGGCAGTGACCTGTGTACAAAATAGAGGAAGATTGGCACAGAGGTTAGCTCAGGGCATATCTTCCTCAGCAAATTAAAAAAAATAATAATAATATGCAAAGTACAAATCTGCTGTTGTAGGGTAATTTCATTCATAGGCTAGTTAATAGATCCAGAATCTTGCCTGATTAATAAATATGATACCATAGATTTAAGTAAGTAGAATCTCTTAGCAAACAGTCACTGTTCTCTGCCCTCTTAACATTTATTTCATTCTCAGTACTTTTCAGCAGTTGTTGTTGCTTTAGAAATAACTGCTCTGGGCTGGCCCCGTGGCTTAGCGGTTAAGTGCACGTGCTCCGCTGCTGGCGGCCCGGGTTCGGATCCCGGGTGTGTGCTGATGCACCGCTTCTCCGGCCATGCTGAGGCCGCGTGCCACATAACAGCAACTAGAAGGATGTGCAGCTATGACATACAGCTATCTACTGGGGCTTTGGGGGAAATAAATAAATAAATAAAAATTATAAAAAAAAAAAAGAAATAACTGCTCTAGAAGTGTTTCTGAGTTGTTTCACTTGAGTGAATAAGTAGTTACTACCTTTATAAGAAAGATGGGCACTATTTTATTTTCAGTCCAGTTCTGTTTTTTGAATATATATGCCTCAGTCTAACACTTAGTTATTCAGATTCAGAAGATTTGAGATAGAGCCTATTTCATCTTTTCATTAAATATTATTTGAGCACTTACTGTATGCTAGCTTTTTTGGTATGGTATGCCAAGTTAGACATAGTCCCTACAATCTAAAGAATAAGATTAACATGAATCAAGTGATCACACAAATAAATGTCAAATTATTGTAGCTTTGGTAAGTTGTGAATGAAACGAATGAGTATCACTTTGCACCCTCCTATACCTATGACAGATGCTCCTGATCAAATCATGGTAAATCTTTTCTCTAAAATCTAGTATTGAGGCTGGCCCCATGGCCTCGTGGTTAAGTTCAATGTGCTCCGCTTCAGCAGCCCAGGTTCGGTTCCCAGGCATGGACCTACACCAGTTGTCGGTGGCGATGCTATGGTGGCCACCCACATACAAAGTAGAGGACGATTGGCACTGATGTTAGCTCAGGGCGAATCTTCTTCAGCAAAAAAAATAAAGTAAAATCCAGTATCTGTTACGTGCTTTTATAGCTTACAACTTTTTCAACGTAAGTGCATGTACAGCTGTTGTTGAAATTGGAGTCAGAAACTCAGATGCTTTATTGTGTTAGGAGCCAAGCCCTTGAAGTCTGCATGAGGAGAAACATAAAGGCCAATGTAGCACATTAGCTCACGAAACACCACTTACACAGGTTTCTGGTGTACAGTTCTATGTTTTAAAGGTTGGAATACTGAAGGCTGCATTTCCAAGAGTTCTCTGCAGCCAGAGAGTTTCTTATGTGACCTAGCTTCTGCCAAATAGATACATTACTGTAAGATTTGGGAAGTAGAAATGAGAATTATTTATTTATTTTTTTTTGGTGAGGCAGATCAGCCCTGAGCTAATATCCATGCTAATCCTCCTCTTTTTTTTTCCTTTTTTTTTTGCTGAGGAAGACTGCCTCTGAGCTAACATCTATTGCCAATCCTCCTCCTTTTTTCCCTTTTTTCTACCCAAAGCCCCAGTAGATAGTTGTATGTCATAGTTGCACATCCTTCTAGTTGTTGTATGTGGGATGCGACCTCAGCATGGCCGGAGAAGTGGTACATCGGTGCTCGCCCAGGATCCAAACCTGGGCTGCCAGTAGCGGAGCATGCACACTTAACCGCTAAGCCACTGCGCTGGCCCGAGAATCTCTATTTTTAAAAAGCTTCATAGGTTGAAAAAGATCTAGGGTTGAAAACCATAGCTCTTGATTTTTTTCTCATTTGCCTACTGGACATTTTGACTTTTTTCTCAACTGTCATTTCCATGACAATCTGTCAAAATTGAACTCACTTTTTCCTTCTAACACTATCTTCTTTTTTTTTTGGTGAGGAAGATCAGCTCTGAGCTAACATCCATGCTGCTCCTCCTCTTTTTGCTGAGGAAGACTGGCCCTGGGCTAACATCCGTGCCCATCTTCCTCTACTTTATATGGGATGCTGCCACAGCATGGCCTGACAAGCGGTGCATCGGTGCACGCCCGGGATCCAAACTCAGGCCGCCAGCAGCGGAGCCTGCGCGCTTAACTGCTATGCCAACAGGGCAGACCCCTAAAACTATCGTCTTATCTCAGCTTTTCTGTCTCTGTTTCTAACACCACTTTTCATCCTTTGACTTGGTGTTACCTTTGACAGATCTTTTATCTTTTTTTTTTTTTTTTGTGGGAAAGATCAGCCCTGAGATAACATCCATGCTAATCCTCCTCTTTTTGCTGAGGAAGACCGGCTCTAAGCTAACATCTATTGCCAATCGTCCTCCGTTTTTTGGTTCCCCAAAGCCCCAGTAGATAGTCGTATGTCATAGTTGCACATCCTTCTAGTTGCTGTATGTGGGATGCGGCCTCAGCATGGCTGGAGAAGCGGTGCGTCGGTGCGCGCCGGGGATCCGAACCTGGGCCGCCAGTAGTGGAGCGTGCGCACTTAACTGCTAAGCCACTGGGCCGGCCCCTCTTTTGTCTTTAAGAGCCATTTCTGCCACAAAATTTTGTTGCTTTTTCCTTCTAAGCCACAACTGTTCTATCTTCTGCTTCTCGCTGTCCTGGGTCAGGCTATCATGGCCTCAAATTTTAATGACTGTGACATCCCTGTAGCTCTCTTTTTCACGGCAGTCGTTTCTCTCTAGTCCTTTCTCATTCATTAAACACCACTCTTATTATCTTTTTTTTTTAAAGATTTTGTTTATTTATTCCCCCCCCCCCCCAAAGCCCCAGCAGATTGTTGTGTGTCATAGCTGCACATCCTTCTGGTTGATGCATGTGGGACCCGGCCTCAGCATGGCCGGAGAAGCGGTGCATCGGTGCGCGCCCGGGATCCGAACCCGGGCCGCCAGCAGCGGAGCGCGCGCACTTAACCGCTAAGCCACGGGGCCGGCCCCTTTCTCTTATTATCTTAACATCTCTCTGAAAACCTTCAGAAACTGTTTCCCTGTAGCTCTGTTTCCCTTTTCCCTGTAGAAAATTAATTCTAATTTTCTTTTTTTTAAGGCTTTTCATTGGTGCACTTTCTGTATCTCCAGGAATTTCTAGGCTTTTTTTATTGGTGACATTTTGCATTATTTAAATCTTATACCATCTTATAGGGAAGGTGGTATTATCATTTTACAGATGAGGAAACAGCCTCTTTTGCAGAATTAGGTAGAGAAATTTGAACAAAATCCCTTAAAACGATTGTTGGCTCTCCTTGCTACAAATGCTGTTGCTTCTTGATAAGATAGACCATTTGTCCACACTTGTCTTTCATTAGTCCTTATTCTTTGCCATGGATCAATGTGTTCATTATGGAAGCTCAATGTCGCTTAAGCTCATATATTTCACTCTGTCTGAATTTCTTCCCTGGTCTTATCACGTCTTTTTACCTGACTACTTTCTTCTGAAGTTTTAAAGCACTTAATGCCTGTGCAGCATAGCTAATACTTAATTACATAGTCACTTTTTTTTCTCCAACAGATTTATTTTCATTTTTCTTTTCAATTTCTCACTTCCAGAGAGTGTATTATATTCCATGTTGTGTCCATGATATGGGGCACATAAATACTTGTGATCCTATTCACACATTAGTTTAGTAAATACATGTTGAATGTCCATTGTTTACATCATAAAAATGTTACCCATATCAATAACAAGGAGATACCACTTCACACTCAGTAGGATGGCTGTAATCAAAATGACAGCAAACATGTATTGGCATGATATAGAGAAATTGGAGCTCTCCTACATTGCTAAGGGGAGTGTAAAATGGTGCAGTCCCTTTGGAAAACAGTTTGGCAGTTCCTCTAAAGGTTAAACATTGAGTTACCATGGGATCCATCCCAGTCACATATATATACCCAAGAGGAATGGTGACATGTATTTGGAAGCATTTAAGATGAATTGGTGTTAATTCTTCTTTAAATGTTTGGTAGAATACACCAGTGAAAA